GTATTGAACCATTCTTGCATTTCTGGAATAAATCCTACTTGATTGTGGTGTATGATCCTTTTAAAAAAATGTTTATTTGGGGCGCTTGGGTGGCTCAGTCGGTTAAGCGTCCGACTTCGGCTCAGGTCATGATCTCGCAGTTCGTGAGTTCAAGCCCTGCGTCGGGCTCTGTGCTGACAGCTCAGAGCCCGGAGCCTGTTTCAGATTCTGTGTCTCCCTCTCTCTCTGACCCTCCCCCGTTCATGCTCTGTCTCTCTCTGTCTCAAAAATAAATAAACGTTAACAAAAAAATAAAAAATAAAAAAAATGTTTATTTATTTATTTGTTTTAGGGAGAGAGAGACAGAGCATGAGTGGGAGAGGGGCAGAGAGAGAGGGAGACACACAGAATCTGAAGCAGGCTAAGGCTCTGAGGTGTCAGAACAGAGCCCAATGCAGGGCTTGAACTCACAGACTATAAGATCATGACCTGAGCTGAAGTTGGATGCTTAACTGACTGAGCCACCCTGGTGCCCCATGTACGATCCATTTAATGTGTTCTTAAATTCAGTTTGATAGTGTTTGATTGAGGGTCTTTGTATCTATTTTAATGAGGGATATTGGCCTGTAATTTTCTTGTAGTATCCTTGTCTGGCTTTGGTATTAGGGTAATGCTGTTATTATAAAATGTTCCCTCCTCTTCAGTTTTTTGGAAGAGTTTGAGAAGGATTGGTATGACCTCTTATTTTAATATCTGGTAGGATTCAACAATAAAAGCATCAGGTCATAAGCTTTTCTTTGTTGAGAGGTTTGATTACAGATTCAATCTCTTGTTATTGGTCTGTTTAGATTTTATATTTCTTCATGACTCAGTCTTGGCAGGTGATATACGTCTAGTAATTTCTCCATTTCTTCTAGGCTATGTAATTTGTTGGTATATAATTATTCATAGTAGTCTTTTTTAATCTTTGTTTTTCTGTTGTATCAATTGTAACATCTCCTCTTTCATTTCTGATTTTATTTATAGTTGACCCTTGAACAACCCGAGTCAGTCAAAAATCTGCATGTAGCTTTTGACTCCTCCTAAACTTAACTACTAATAGTCTACTGTTGACCAGTCTACTGCTGACCTTACTGATAACAAACAGTTGGCTGTTGATGGTCTCTATTTCATTTTTCATTTCATTCATTGTATTCTTCAGCTCCAGAAGAAGTTGAATTATTTTTAATAATTTCTATCTTTCTGCGAAAGCTCTTACTGTGTTCATGTATCATTTTCCTGATTTACTTGAATTGTCTTTCTGTGTTTTCCTGTAGCTTATTGAGCTTCCTTAAAACATCTATTTTGAATTCTTTATAAGGCAAATCATAGATCTCCAGTCCTTTGGGTTGGTTACTGAAAAATTATTTTGTTCCTTTGGTGGTGTCAGGTTTCCTTGATTTTTCTTATTCCTTGATGTCTTGTGTTGTCTTTGCATTTGAAGACTCAGTCACCTCCTCCAGTCTCTACTGCCCTGCCTTCAGGAGAGAAATACCTTGTGTTGGCCTTCTAGGTATTTTGAGGCTTTCTCTGAGTTTTTCTATGGATACACCTACTCTATGCTTCTTGCTTCCTCTTAGGCAGAATTCTTAAAATTGCTTGCCTTTTTTTGATCCTGCAAAGCCAGGGCGGGTACCAACAGCCTCCTGTTTGCTTTCCCTAGGGCAGTGTTGAATGCATCGATGCTGAATGCATCAGTATCCATGCATTTTCTTAGTCCTATAGAGTTGTGCCATTTTTCTACATTTTCTCCCTAGCTGTCTGCAAAGGCTTATATTTGTTGCCATCGGGGACCACACAGGTTGACAGCTACAGGGTGGTAGGGTATGTGTGTTAGGCATCTGGAATGTTGGGGGTGCCCATGGGCCAGGTGGGGGGGACCCACAGGTGAGGTATCACCAGCAGCTCATAGGCCGTCTTCTTGGTGGTATCTGTGAAGTGGTTAGTGGGACCTATGTCTCTGATGCCCTCTGAGAGCAACTGGCTGCTGTTCTCCAAGGCCCTTCATTCATAGTCATGTAGCACACCTTAGTATTCTGGAGGAGGCAAGAAAGAAGTTGGCCTCCTTCTTATCCCATACAGCTGGGGAAGCCAGATGCTTACTCACATGCTCCTGTTTTCCTCCATGGGAGAAATTATGGGCTGAGAAGGTCTCTCTTGGCACTGAGCCGTGCCCTTTGGGGAGGGGTGACATGGGTACAGAATAACTGTTCATTGTACCCTCTCCAGTGCATCTAATCATGGATAATTTTTCCTCTAACAGTTTACTGGAACTTCTTCCTCTTGCACCTGTTTAGGAGGGTGTATTAGTCATGCTTCTCCAGAGAAATAGAAAGAGCAGGCTTTGTATTCGGGTATAGAATAAGTTTTATTTCAAGGAATTTGCCTATGTGATTGATTGTGGAGGCTTGGTGATTCCAAAATCTGATGGAGGAAGTTGGCAGACTGGAGACTTGGGAAAGAGCTGCAGCTCAAGTCCAGAAACAATCAGCTGGTAAACCAGGTAGAACTGATGTTGTAAATGAAGCTTAAAGGCAGTCTGCTGGAAGAATTCCCTCCTGCTCAGGGGAGGGCAGCCTTTTGTTCTATTTGATCCTGCAACTGATTGGACAAGGCCCACCCATATTATGGAGGGCAATCTACTTTACTCTAAATCTGTGAAAATTAAATGTTAATTCCATCCAAAAACATCCTCACAGAAACATCCAGAATAATGTTTGACCAACTATCTTGGCATCATGGCCCAGCCAAATTGAGACATAAAATTAGCCAACAGAGAAGGGATAGAGTAAAAAGTGAGAAATGCTTTCAAGTACAATGACATATCAAACTTATGTTTTTGGTGGTAGTCCATTTCAAAAAAGAATTATTTTTTTTTTAATTTTTTTTAACGTTTATTTATTTTTGAGACAGAGAGAGACAGAGCATGAACGGGGGGAGGGTCAGAGAGAGAGGGAGACACAGAATCGGAAGCAGGCTCCAGGCTCTGGGCCATCATCAGCCCAGAGCCCGAAGCGGGGCTCGAACTCACGGACCGTGAGATCGTGACCTGAGCTGAAGTCGGACGCTCAACCGACTGCGCCACCCAGGCGCCCCAAGAATTATTTTTTTTAATAGATACTTGACTCTAAGTATTTTAGAAGATTTAAAACATCCTCCCAAGCTTTAGCGTAAGAATATCTCACCATCCACCAGAATAGTCTGGAGAAATATTCAGAATGCCTTGGACCATGTGGTACTTGTCATGAATTAACTGATCCGTGCTGGTCACAACATTGATTACCATGGATGATGAGATTGGAGATGGGAAGTTCAACGGTACATTAAAAGAATTATTCACCAAGGGTGCCTGGGTGGCTCAGTCAGTTAAGCGTCCAGCTGTTGGTTTAGGCTCAGGTCTTGATCTCACAGTTCATGAGTTTGAGCCTGGAGTCAGGTTCTGCCCTGACAGTGCAGAGCCTGCTTGAGACTCTCTATCTCCCTCTCTCTGCCTCTCCCCCATTTGTGTTCTCTCTCTCTCTCAACACAAACAAATACACTTAAAAAAATAAAAGGATTATTCACCATGATCAAGTGGGATTCATTCCTGGGCTGCAGGTCTGGTTCAATATTCATAAATCAATCAATGTGATATATCACATTAATAAAAGAAAGGATAAGAACCACATAATCTTTTCAATAGAAGCAGAAAAAGCATGTGACAAAATACAGCATCCTTTCTTGATAAAAGCCCTCAAGAAAGCAGGGATAGAAGGAACATAAACATGATAAAAGCCCTATATGAAAGGCCCACAGCTAATACCATCCTCAATGGGGAAAAATCTGAGAGCTTTCCGACTAAGATCAAGAAGGAGACTTTTTTTTATTTTTTATTTATTTTTTATTTTTTATTTTTGTTTTTTTTTATTTTTTTTTTTCAACGTTTATTTATTTTTGGGACAGAGAGAGACAGAGCATGAACGGGGGAGGGGCAGAGAGAGAGGGAGACACAGAATCGGAAACAGGCTCCAGGCTCTGAGCCATCAGCCCAGAGCCCGATGCGGGGCTCGAACTCACGGACCGCGAGATCGTGACCTGGCTGAAGTCGGACGCTTAACCGACTGCGCCACCCAGGTGCCCCAGGAGACTTTTTTTTAAATAAAATTTTAATTTTAGAATAGTTTTAGATTTATATAAAAGTTGCAAAGATAGTACAGAGCATTCCCATATACCCCTACCCAGTCTTCATTATTATTAGCATTTAATTTACATTAGTATGGTATACTTATCATAATTAATGAACCATATTGATAAATTATTACTAAAGTCCATAATGTATTCATATTTCCCTAGTTGTTATCTAAAGTCCAATTTCTATCCTAAGATTCTATCCAGGAGAGCACATTACACTTAATTCTTGTATCCTTAGGCACCTCTTGATTGTGATAGTTCTCAGACTTTGTTTTTGATGACACTGGCAGTCCTAAGGAGTACTAGTCAGATATTTTGTACAGACCCCATCAATTTGGTTTTATTTGATGTTTTTCTCATGGTTATATTACTGTTATGGGTTTGGGAGATGGGGACCACAGAAGTGAAGTACCATTGTCAGTCATCACATCATATCGAAAGTACATACTATCAACATGACTTAACCATTGCTGATATTAACCTTGGTCATTTGTCTTAGGTAGCATTTGTCAGGTTTCTCCACTTTTTTCCCCCTTGTCACACTGTATTCTTTAGAAGGGGTCCAATACACTATGTTCAACCCACATTTAAGGAGTAGGCAGGTACGCTCTACACTTCATTGAGAGTGTAGTTTCTACCTAAGTTATTTGGAATTCTTCTGAGAGGAAGATTTTCTGTTCTCTTCCATTTATTTCATTATTCAATTATTTATTTATATTGGTATAATAGGTATTGATTTTATGCTTTTGGTTATAATCTAATGTTATGTTGTTTCTTTTGTTGCTCAAATTGTCCCATCCTTAGTCACCCGGGTCTCTTTCATTTGGTTCCTGTGTCCCTTTAACATACCCTTATCATTGTGGGTTTTGTTGTTATTGTTGTTGTTGTTGTTGTTGTTGAGTGCTTCCTTTCTGTTGCTACTAGATGCTTCAGGTTCATCTGGTACCTTTTCTGTTTCAGCCTTCAAATCTACCTGTTCTCTGCTCTCTGAGCTGTTGTAAACCTTTTTGCAACATTCTTTTCAGAGCTGCTTTTACTTCCTTGTTCTTCAAGCTGTAGACAAGGGGATTCACTAGAGGAGTGACCACACTGTACTGTATGGAAAAAATTAACTCCAGTGGGGAACTTAAGGTTGGCATGAGATAGCGAAGAAAAGCAGATCCATAGAAGAAACTCACTGCAGTGAGGTGGGAGGAGCAGGTGGAGAAAGCCTTGCTTCTGCCTGAGGTGGAGGTGATGCTCAGGATGGTGGAGATAATACGGGTGTAAGAGAAGAAGACCAGGAGTAAGGTTCCAGAGGCATGAATGATGGCAGAGCACACCAGAACTGCAAAGTTGGTGGAGATATCAGAGCAAGACAGAGAGAATAGAGATGGCAGTTCACAGCTGAAGTGAGGCATGACATGAGTCCCACAGAAGTCCAAATTGCAAGCCATGAGGGTGTTAATGAGAGCATCCAGAAAGCCCAGTCCCCATGAGACCCATACCAGACCCCCACACAACTGTTTACTCATCACCTGGTCATAGAGCAGGGGGTTGCAGATGGCAGTATAGCGGTCATAGGCCATGGCAGAGAGCACAAAAGCTTCAGTCCCTGCGATGGAAAACACAAAAAATGCCTGAGCGAGGCAGCTTTCTATGGATACTGATTTCTTCTGAGACAGGAGATTCTCCAGCATCTTGGGCACAGTGACTGAAGTTAAACAAAGATCCAGGAAGGAGAGGTGACTCAAGAAGAAGTACATGGGGGTGTGGAGATGGGAATCAGTCATAATCGCCATCATCATCATCAGGTTCCCCATGATGGTCAGGAGGTAAATTTCCAGGAAAAATGCAAAGAGGAGAATTTGGGTGTGAGGGTCAGCAGATAGCCCAAGGAGGATGAATTCTGTGATGGTGCTGTGGTTTCCCAAGACCATGACAGAAGATGTTCCACTGGAATGAAAGCATAAAGAAGCATGAAATATTCACCTTCTTTTTGTGCCACCTCAGAATCTCTACTTTATTCCATGTATGCACATCTTCAGTGTGCTCATCTTTTACACAGATTTTTAAAACATCTACTCTCCCTCCCTCCCAGGATTCTTCCCTCACTTGATTGCCAACCTCACAGGTCCCGAACTCTGAACCAGACCATTAGTACTCTTGTGGCTCCTCTCCCACAAATAACTCTGGAGACCTTCATATAATTTTTCAGTTTAGTCTATGACTGAATGGTTTCATCTCCTTGAACTGTCCTTTGATTGTAACCTACAATACTACTGGTCAAACTATATCCAATACACTTCTTGGAGAAGTGATTCTAATCATCTCTGGTTTCTTGAGTCACACAGTGTTTCATTCTCCATTCAAAAGCTTGTAAGAGTTTGATATTACTTTATAATATCATGCTATATTTATTATATTTCTGCCATTCATGTGTCTCTCTCTAGTGTATTTGGTTATTTAATTCCAAGGACAGTTTCAAAATGTATGTGTGTGTGAGTATATGCATGTGGTGGGAAATGGGGTTAAGAAAGGAGATTGCTGGGAGTGCCTGAGTGGCTCAGTTGGTTGAACATCTGACTCCTCATTTTGGCTCAGGTCATGATCTCATTGTTAGTGAGTTCTAGCCCGGCACCGGGCTCTGTGCTGACAGCTCAAAGTCTGCTTGGGATTCTCTCTCTCCCTCTCTCTTCGCCCCTCCCCTGCTCATGCTCCCTTTCTCTCTCTCAAAAATAAATAAACATTAAAAAAAAAAAAAAAGAAAGGAGATTTCTAATCTGTATTTTTAAGATTAACCCTCCCCCACCCCAAAAATTCAGATTCATAGGACTTGTTCAGTTCCTCAGTTTGAACAGTCAGGATTTGCATCTCCTCTATATAAGCCTATGACCAGAACTTTTAATTCTACAGTGCTCCTGAATAATTATAAACTTATCTGGTTGGCATTTAAAGATTACTCAGTTTTTGAAGTAATTTCTCTACCAGCAGAGAACCTGTTTTACTTGGTCTTTTCTGTGATGGGTATTTTAAGCATTGCCCAGGTGGTTCTGCTACCTCTGTGCTACAGAATCAGGCACGAACTGGTCAGACCAGACTTGCCGGTGCCCTCATTACTCTCCTATTCTCTGCCTTGACTTCAGCTGAGACTCTGTTGAAAATTTTCCCTACAAATCTTGACCTAAATCCTACCTATTTTTCCATCTCACCTTAATTTCTATTTCTTCCCTTTTTTTTTTTAATTTTTTTTTCAACGTTTATTTATTTTTGGGACAGAGAGAGACAGAGCATGAACGGGGGAGGGGCAGAGAGAGAGGGAGACACAGAATCGGAAACAGGCTCCAGGCTCCGAGCCATCAGCCCAGAGCCTGACGCGGGGCTCGAACTCACGGAGCGCGAGATCGTGACCTGGCTGAAGTCGGACGCTTAACCGACTGCGCCACGCAGGCGCCCCTCTATTTCTTCCCTTATATTACCTCCTTCCCTGCCTGGATGGATTATGGAAAATAATGATTTTCACTGGTCCCAATTATATCTAGGTATTATCAACTGTTTAGCTTTTTCTCTACTGGGAGATCTCAACAAAACTTCAGGGGCTGCATTATTTCAAATTTTAGAATATGGAAATTGAATCTGAAAATGCTGTGGTAACTTCTGGTGTTGAGAGGATTAGTGGGTAAGCTTAACATCCCTCCCAGGTCTGTGAAGCTTCCATATCTGTGCTTTTTACACTCTGACTGGCTGACATTCATTTGCTTAAGCATGTGTACTTCTCTTCACTCTATGTTCTCTTTTGTCGCTTATTCTCTGAACTGTTTTGGGCCTTCACCTGGGTATCTATCTTACTCTGGCTTTTAGTAGGATGTATGAGTAGTGTTTCTTTTTCCTCCAAATGTGTTGCTTGTTTATGAAGAATACATTTGGTATTTAATCATCCATATTATCTTAAATCCTGAACATACAGCAGAATGAAAGGCAATAATGGGTGCTCAGGATTTGTTAAATGTAGAAAGAATGAAAGAATGAAGTGAATATGACATGTGCTTTGTTAGAGGAATATACCTAGCTTTAATTCTAACTTTAGAAATAAACAAAACTGGGGTGTCTGTGTGGCTCAGTCAGTTAAGCATACAACTTTGGTTCAGGTCATGATCTCACGGTTCGTGGATTTGAGCCCGGCATCGGGCTCTGTGCTGACAGCTCAGACCCTGGAGCCTGCTTGGGATTCTCTGTCTTCCTCTCTCTCTGCCCCTCCCCCACTCACGTTCTATCCCTCTCTGTCTCTCAAAAATAAATAAATGTAAAAAAAAAAAAAAGGAACAAACAAACAAAACTTGGGGCACCTGGGTGGCTCAGTTGGTTAAGCATCGACTTCAGCTCAGGTCATGATCTCACGGTTGGCGAGTTCGAGCCTGGCAATGAGCTCTGTGCTGACAGCTCGGAGCATGGAGCCTGCTTCAGATTCTGTGTCTCCTTCTCTCTCTGCTCCTCTCCTGCTCGTGCTCTGTCTCTGTCTCAAAAATAAATAAACATTAAAAAAGTAAAAAAATAAATAAACAAAACTGGAGGATGCCTGGGAAGTGGTGGAGAAAGGTTGCAAAGACGGAAGACTTATCTTTTGTTGTAATAATTGGTACCTAAAGGTTCCTTCCCCCAGGGAGCAGCTCATTCTTACTAGCTAATTTCTGTCCATGCTGGGAGGGTGGCTTAAAACCATGACATTTATGTGTACATTCCATTGTCTACCCTGTCAATTCAGTAATCTATCCACCTGTGTTCCTGTTCAATTATTCATCCATTAATTTATCAGTTCTCTCATTTACCTAATTATTCAAAATATTATGGGTCTACTTTGTGCAAGCCCTCCTACTTATAACAGGTTGGCCAAACAACCTTATCTAATGTTTGTTGAACTGTTGTGTGAATACACTTATTTGTCCTGCTTTTCCAGTCATACGTTTCTAGCATTCATCGCTGAGTTCTTGTGTTGGTTAACTTTTTTTATACCCAGCTTGAAACCTCAGACTCTTCCTTTAGTGAGTCTTTTCTGGTATGTAACTCTTTGCAATAATCATAACCTGTCACCCAGAATTCCGAATTGACTCTGAATTTCCCAGCTTTCATCCGGGGAATTTCACCACAGTGTCATGTTTTTCTGGCCCACAGAACTCACAAGAACAGGTTCTATTCCTGCGGAGTGAGCCAATGTCCTGCTTTTCCTTTCTTTTCGTCTTTGTTTCTTTCTCTTTTGTTTGTTTATTTATTTATTTATTTTGAGAGAGGGGGAGAGGGAGAGAGAGAGAGAGAGAGAGAGAGTGAGCGAGTGAGCTCGCAAGCAGGGGAGGGGCAGAGACAGAGGGAGAGAGAAAGAATCCCAGGCCTGCTCTGCACTGTTAGTTCAAAGCCCAATGTGGGGCTCAATCTTATGATCTGTGAGATTATGACCTGAGCCGAAACCAAGAGTTGGTTGCTTAACCAGCTGAGCCACCCAGTTGCCCCATCTTTTCTTATTTCTTATTTAAACAAGTTCTCATATTCCCACCCCTTATCAGAACCCATATTCAAATCACCTCTCTGTTCTATCTGGCGAGTAACTTGCAGCCCAGCATGATAGCTCAGATTAATTCAGATTCTGCAGTGAAGATGAACAACCAGAAGGAAAGTTCGGTTCCTGCTGTCTCTGAATTTATAAAATCTCGCTGGAATAAACGGTTTCTTTTGTCTTTCAGTAGCAAAGTAAACAGTCAATTCAGTACATTTACTTTAACTGGAAAATTTCTCAAGATTTATAACTTACTTTTTGATTTTGGCCATTTTCTCCATATTTACTCTCTAGTTTTTTCCATATTTGTTCTCATTGGAGACCTGGCCACAATCCCATTTTTATTTTTGGCATGTAACCCAAGCAAATT